AAGTCTTTGGGAACGGGTTTCTCAAGCCAGGTGCCGCATTAGACCAGGGGCACATCTCCTGTTTCCAAAATGCATCTTGACAAACTGTTCTACTCTGATAATTGTTGATGAAAATAAATGATGCTCAATAAGATGTGCTTGTGTTTACTGTTTATTCAGTTACTTATGATATGTTGAACTGTCGGCCTACATAAACTCTAAACTGTCACACCCGGAGAGACGGATCCAAACGCAAATGCTGTTAACACAAAAGGATTTTATTAACTCTTCAAAACAATGACAAGCCGAGGCTCGTGACTCAAATGAAAATGATGAGATCGCTCGGCGATAGCGAAAAATAACATGGCAACAGTGTCCAAATCAGCGGGCGTGAGAGAGGTCAGGCAGGCGAGCATCGATCGGGAGGCAGATGGGATAACGGAGGAACGTTAAGTTCAGCGTCGGACAGGTGAAGTCAATGGTAGGTGGCTGGCCGGGGAGAATCCGAAATGAAACAGGAAAAACACAGGCAACCGAGCAAAAACTGGGCAGAAGAGAAAAACAGAATCAAAACATGAAGTAATGCATGACAATGACAGAAATCAAGACAACGTAACGAGATAGCCTGAATAATGACAGGACACACTAGCGACCAGAAAGTGGGAAAAGAAGAGCTTAAATAGTCAGGAAATTAATGGAGACCGGTAACCGGTGCAGCAAGCCGTGTGTGCACTGATCAGTAATAATGATCAGCTGAGTGCACGCTGCAAGAATGAAACGCAGGGAGAGAGAGAAATAAAGAGAAGGATCAAGCCAGTGTCCTGACACAAACAGCCATTTTTGATGACCTTAATCCAACTAAAGTCATCACTGAACTAAATAGAAATGGAGTTAAGACATGTGGAGTTATTGAAGTAAACACAATCAAACTTTTACCCTCATGTAGGACTTTCACCAAATTTTCCAACAAGATCCACACACACACACACACACACACACACACACACACACACACACACACATACACACATACACATTGCGAAATGCAGAAGTTTTTTTCTTTCTATTTGGCGTGCGTTATTAAACTCCATAACACTCTCACCAGTCCTGACTCCTTATCTGAGTCTAATGCTTCAGTTTGTCACAGGGGCATGAATGAAATGTTCTTGAGTGAAAGAGAACAGGAAACTCTTACATTACAGCACTTGACGTAAACACCTTCATTATATTATTGTCTATTAGGGCAAATAACTAGACTACAGATGTCCATGTAAGTGTAGTCAGGAGTGTTTTCAGAGTAAGTGAAGGATATCCTGCTGATGTGAATCTGAAGGGCTCTGTTTTGTCAGACGGCTCACCGGTCAGGTATACATCCGCGCTAAAATATCAAGATGAAAGTCATCATAGATTGCATAGAATAGACCCAGCGCCAGACCCTAAGAATGGATTAACGAGCAGATATTTTTTTAATCATGCGATAAGAGTCTTGCGTTTACACACACATTAACGTCGACATCTGCTCACCACTATTATATACACAGTTGAACGCAGAATTATTCACCCCCTTTGACTGTTTTTTAAATATTTCCCAAATGATGTTTAACAGAGCAAAGTAATGTTCACAGTGAGTCTGATAATATTTGTTCTTCTGGAGAAAGTCTTAGTTGTTTTATTTCGGCGAGAACAAAAGCAGTTTTTAATTTTTTAAACCCCATTTTAAAGTCAATATTATTAGCCCCTTTAAGCTTTTTTATTATTTTCAATAGTCTACAGAACAAACCATCATAATACAATAACTTGCCTAATTACCCTAATTACCCTAGTGAAGCCTTTAAATGTCACTTTAAGCTGTATAGAAGTGTCTTGAAGAATATCTAGTCTAATATTATTTACTGTCATCATGACAAAGATAAAATAAATCAGTTATTAGAGATGAGTTATTAACACTATTATGTTTAGAAATGTGTTTAAGTTATCTGCTCTCCGTTACACAGAAATTGGGAAAAAAAATAAACATGGGGGCGAATAAATCTGACTTCAACTGAATATCCATATGAAAAAATGCTTCCTTGCTCTGTTAAACATCACTAGTGACGGATTTGAATGTAATTTTCACAGCAGTGTGAATAAATGAATATATACTGTGTGTGTTGAATCATTTGCGCAGGCGTCTCCTGAAGAGGACGGTCTCCGAGCTGCAGATGTGTGTGTTCCCGCCGGTGCGCTTCAGTGGGCTCAGTTTGTGTGTCCAGAAGAACTCCGGGTGCTGTTCAACACAGGCTGCAGTCCATACAGCATCAACAGATCCAGCATCAGTCTGCAGGTCAGAACACACACACACACACACACACACACAGATCATCAGTCATGAGGAGAGCGTTTAGATCTGACAGATAATCAACACTCTGAAGTGCACACGCTGATCTGAACACCTTCAATATCTGTGATTTACACAGGCTCTTATTGATTTGAAGAGAAACCTTTTAATTAATACGAGACAAAACAGACTATCAGAAAACAGCCCTATTATTTACCTCTATCTAGTCAGTCAAATTATAGTATTTTTACTATAACATCATATAGCAAATATAATATACTTAATAGTGTAATAATAACAACAACAATATAATAATAATAATAATAATAATAATAAAAGTATAATAATTTTAATAATAACAACAGTATAATATAATAATAATAATAATAACAGTATAATAATAATAACAACAACAGTATAGTAATAATTATAATATAAATAATAATAAGAATAATAAGAAGAAGAATAACAGTATAATAATAATAATAATAATAATAATAATAATAACAGTATAATAATAATTATAATATAAATAATAATAATAATAATAATAATAAAAACAGTATAATAATAATAAAAACAGTATAATAATAATAACTTTATAATAATAATAATAATAATAATAATAATAATAATAATAACAACTGTATAATAATAATTTAATAATTATAATAGTATTAATAATAATAATAATAATAATAATAATAACTTTATAATAATAATAACAACAGTATAGTAATAATTATAATATAAATAATAATAATAATAAGAAGAAGAAGAAGAATAACTGTATAATAATAATAATAATAATAATAATAACAGTATAATAATAATTATAATATAAATAATAATAATAATAATAATAAAAACAGTATAATAATAATTATAACAGTATAATAATAATAACTTTATAATAATAATAATAATAATAACTGTATAATAATAATTTAATAATTATAATAGTATTAATAATAATAATAATAATAATAACTTTATAATTTTTTTATAAAACTGCAAGTTTTAATGCAGTTCTGAGAAAAAGTCTGAATTATGAGATGCAAACTCAAAATTCCAAAAAAAAGGAAAGAAAAAAAAAGGCAAAATTAAGAATAAAGCGTGCAGTCAGGCCTGATGGAGGTCCTAAAAATCTTAAAGTATTGCAGTTAAAAATTGCCGATTACTGTAGGAATATAAAGCACAATTTAATTATATTTGTGATGGAAAGCTGAATTTCAGCATCATTATAGTCATATAATGATGTCTAAATTCAGTGTAATATGAGAGTTTTGATTAGTTATTATTATTATTTTATTATTATTAATATTATCAGACCCTTTAGGCTATTTTTCCCCGATAGTCTCCAGAACAAACCATCATTTTACAATAACCTGCCTAATTACCCTAACCTGCCTAGTTACCCTAGTAAAGCCTTTAAATGTCACTTTAAACTGAACACTAGTGTCTTGAAGAATATCTAGTCTAATATTATTTACTGACATCATGACAAAGAGAAAATAAATCAGTTATTAGAGATGAGTTATTAACACTATTATGATTAGAAATGTGTTGAAAACATCTGCTTTCGGTTAAACAGAAATTGGGGAAAAAATAAACAGGGGGGCGAATAATTAATAAATAAAAATTGCAGGCTAAATTTGAGAATAAATATGAAGAGATCAGTCAGGCCTGATGGAGGATCTGTTTTGCTCACCACAGCTCAAACTATTACATCAAAAATATAGAATAAGATGCAAAAATGTGAGAAAGTATTGCAATTCAGAACAGCTGATAACTGTGTAAATATATAATAAAGTGTCATTTATATCAGTGATGTAAAGCTGAGTTTCACATCATTATAGTGTCACATGATCCTGCAGAAATCAGTGTATTATGAGGATTTGATGATCCATGAACATTTATGATTATCATCAATGCTTCATATTATTGTGGAGACTCAGAATTCAATACTGTGTGTGTGTGTGTGTGTGTGTGTGTGTGTGTGTGTGTGTGTGTGTGTGTGTGTGTGTGTGTGTTTCAGAGACAGACTCTGCGCTGTGTGGATCTGCTGGTGCAGGAGCTGCAGGCGCTCTCTTTAATCCCACTGACCTTTGCCC